GTACGCAACTATTCTCCATACGCAACTATTCTCCGTACGCAACTACTCTCCATATGCAATTACTCTCCGTACGTAGCTATTATCCGTACGCTTCCTTATATGTTATACTAACGTGAAGGCTACCAAACATAGTCTCGGTAAGCGTGTCCCCGAGCTCCTATGGTAAGCTACATAAAAGTCACAAGAAACCTCAAACGCATTTCATCACGCGTGATATGTAATCTACGATGGCTTGTAACTTTCTGCGTCTCACTAAGAAGCTCGCGGTGCAATTTATCCTACATGGAGTAATATAGACGCCGTGGAGGCCACTCAACCTTATTTCCCGAAGCGTATACTATAGCAATAGTAAATACTGAATGCAGCAAAAGGAACCGTCGTTATCTGTTGGCGAAAAACCAATGAGTGATCAAAATATCGAAGGTACTGAGGGATTAAAGTCTTATGCTCGACGGCGAGTCACTGGCCGCTGATCATGTTCGTCTGACGTATTCCGCCGTTTACCAGTGAAGACATCGTGCCTCGATATGTATTCTTCCAAGTCTTCACGTGTTATTCCACCTTCGCGGTTTTCAAGTTCACCGGGCTTGGATTTTGTTCCTACTAGTAATAATCTGCTTTGAAGAACATCCTTCAATGCAGTATCTGGTGCCTCCGATCTAAACGCATCCCCATCGAGAAGTAGAAAGTAATGGTCCAGTGCCAAGTCGGTAAGGCTTAGTCGAATGTTCAGCTCGTCATCTGAAAAAAACTTATAATACTCTCGTGAGTTGAATAGGTAAAAAACAACCACACTAGAGTTATTGCTTTTGTACCATGTGGTTAGGATCTCTTCTGCCTTTCTGTGGACAGAAATAGGAATCCTTGTGCAGACCGGGCCTTTGCATATCTCATCCTCGAAACCCGCGGCTAACGGCACTGACTTCTCGACGCCATCCATTTGTGCATGATGTGGTTCAGGCGGGTGAGGGTGGAGTTCAACAGGCGATAATACAGATGATGCATCGTCTATGTTCTCTGGATCCTCATCTATTGGATACTGCTGGCAATTGTCAACTAACGTTTCCTCCTCGGATGGTAGTTGATTGGTAATATGCTGGACTGGTGTCTCGATGTTCAGTGCCGCCGTGGTAGCAGGCTGCTCACCACGTAGGAGTTCAATCATGGGGTGCCTGCCGAAGAAAGACAAGAATATGTCTCGCATTATGGCAAACGATGTTGGATAGTGCTTCGCCTCTTGATCAGGGCAATAAATGTACTTTATGAAAAGAAACTTGCGATCGTAGAGATACTCTCTCTGAAGGGGGCGACCTGCCCGCCTATCGGGCCTTTCCTTATCCCAATTGACGGCATGGTCCGGCATTAGAGGTGCAGCGGACTGTTTTTGCTCGACATCGAACATTTCACGAAATTTCCTTGCAATGTAATTTACTTTGCTGTTCGCCTCGGGACCTATTACGTCTCTCGAAAGTGTTTCACATATATACTGAAAGGCAGGCAGGTTCGGGTTCCTGTAAGTGTTCTGATGGTCCCTCGAAATATCGAAGCCGAATTTTCTCGCTGCACTGGACAACAATGGCCTCCCGCGAACTTTTAGTAGCGGTTGAACACTGTCTTTGCCGTTTGTTCTTCCTTTTCGAGGCTCGATAAAATGTCGGAATGCTACCAACCAGAGCTGCAGCAGGCTAATCAAAGATGCGAACTCTTCGAGTTTCTCGATGGTGATCCCAGAAGGCAATTTTACTTCCTCGAATCGGGTTTCAGATAGCTGTACACAGCAGGATCCGTTCCATCCTGCCCAGGACCTTAACAGAAGGTCCTGAATTGATACCTTGTTCCTAGTGGAGCAGATATCGCGGATCGCGCGTGCAGGACCGGAGAGTAAGATGGCGTCTTGAAAGAAAGTGGAGAGGGTGAGTATCCTTCCGGGCACTACGAGCAGGCTCTGCAGCACACGGTCCCGGTCCTTAGAATTTGTCAGCCTGGGGAACAAAGAAGCCTGACAACTATCATTAATAGCATCGACGATTTTTTTTTGATCATCCAGAGAATACTTCGGCATCAATCCTTCCAGAAAGCCAACAGATTTTGGGTCAACCAGAAACGCCATATCTCCGGGGAAAAGGCCAGACCAGAGGTGATAGATATTTGTCAAGTAGGAAACCATGACCTGCCTCTCATGAGCAGTTTATAATATATTGATGGATAAAGAACGATGGTATACCTCGTTGCAACGCGGATTGAACATGTACTCTAACTTCCGGTACGTGAACGTCTCCCAGAGCCCCTGGTAGGGAGCGAGGTCCGCCAGCGCCCCTCGCAGAGGAATATTCGAATCTACCTTTTTGACATAGTGGTAGTCCGTATCAGATTTGAACCTGTGCCGCCAGCCCTCTGATGTACATGGTGCATAGTTGCAGAGCAAGTCGCGGAAGGCCTGGGCATCCGTAATATTTGCCTCGATAGCATACTGTGCAGTAAGATGAATCTGCAAGTGGAGTGGTAGAGCTTTTTGCGCATTATGATCAGAAATTTATGTTAAGGTTCGTCAGGGGATAGTTCCTTACAATTCAGGTATAGCCTAGCTGTCCACCACTTTTCTCCAGGCGGAAGAAAGCGCCGGGCCGCCTCAAGAAGATCCCGGCCGCGCAAGCACGGGAGAACAACGCTTTTTTCAAGCATAAGATGAGGTGGGTTTTGTGAGAATGACAACCCTTCTCGCGCTATGCCCGTATCCAAAATCGCCCTGTTTAACTGGTCCTCAGTGATGACAGCTATAACGAAGTGCTCTGGGTCCAATCGAGAACACTCGTCTAACGTGAAACGCTTAGAATACCATTTGACATTCTCTTCTGTATCAAATTCATGCGACAGTTGCTGGAGAGAGATTTTGGCAAACCCCACGAAGTGCTTTTGTACTTCTTGAGACTTGGTGTCTATATTCTTGTTAAGCCAGCCTGCTCCACTCATAATGTATGATTAAATCTTTCACGCCTGGGTAATTAGTTACGGAAGGAAAGGGAAAAAGGGTGGGAAGTAGGTCAGTACTTATAGATTTTGGTTCACTTTGGACTGGCTTACAAACTGTGCTTAGCATGTTTCATATCTAATAAACTTATTTTTACTTCGCTAGAACTCGTTATTGGATAAAAAAATGATAAACCAGAGACAGAATACAACATCTATTTCATTCAAAAAGATTCATCTCATCCTTTTTGATACGATCTGGAAGAACCCTCCCATATCGAATCGCGTCCAGATAATGGGGTTTGAGATTCCAGGACCTGTCCCCAGGTGGTGCCTGTTGCAAGAATTCATGCTGATAATTCAGGGCGGGCGTAAAGAAGACAGATAGACATCGTTACTAACCTGAAATAATATAGAGTATGGAGCCGTTTTTAGTTCACGAATAAAGTCTTTGCCGTATGCGGATATATTGGCCGGATCCTGCAAGTACCTTTCTCCTTCTTCAAGGATCGTCCGTGGGTCACAGAGATTAACTAACAGAGTTGCTACGCTGTCCCGATCAGTCTCCCTCTCTCTGAGTGTTACTCCTTCAAGCATGCTGCTGCCAATATTTGCTATAGTATTGTCAGATTCCTAACAGGCTGCAAACAGAGCAAGCACCCAACACTAACTTATCCGCACCTCTCCATCATGGAAAAGCAAGACGCTTTTGCTCGAAATCGCGCCATGGCTAATCCGAAGGGTGTCGTGTATATACTGGAGGCCTCTGAGGACACTCCTGCAAATTGTGGCGAAATCGACGTCACTAAGATGAACATGAGGACTCGAACGAACAAGAGATAATGTCACTGCGAGTCCGTGGTATCGGTAAGCAAAGAAGAGTGTACTTCCATGGTAGAAGGCCTCCAGCAGGTCAACGATATTTGGATGTGCAGCTGCTCGTAGATTTGACTGCCCATAATGCTTTTTGCCCATGGTTTTGAGTTTTATCAATACTTCTTCCGGGTATCCTGGAGAATTTTCAAGGCCAATCCACCCAGGTCCGGCTTGGTCGATCTTCCAAGATATGAGATATTTCCGAGATGGTTTCCCATCTTGTATAAATTTGCAACCCGTCTGCTGTGGACTAACTGGACCATTATAATGCTCCTGTGAATCAGTCGCGTTGGCAGTGGGTAGTACATGGAGGGGCACATGGATTCGAGCAGAATGTCTATTTTGATTTGCATCCTCTCCACTGGGCTTGTCAAGCGAATCCACACCACTAGGTTTCACATCCGGTCGGCTATTGCTATTCCAAAGATGAGGTGGAAGGCATGTATTACGCTTCGACTTTTGCATGATTGACAGAAATGGCAAGAACACCTCCACCAAAGAAAACGTTGAATGTGAGAGCAGCCGAAGCTTATATGGCCCTTGTATGTCAAACGAACAGCAGTAGGGACTTCTGACATCACTGTACATAGAAGGCTGAGAACCCATAGATATAGACGCATTGAATAAGTCGCTACTGTTTGTATAATCAACATCTGTCTTCCAAAAAGACACAATAGCGGCATTCCAAGGCTAAAGAAGGCTAGAAGTTGTTGGAATTGGACCGATGTACCTAAGTGGGACAGAGTGGGTTCCGAGAATGCCTATCACCTGTATTGCCCGCGATACTCTTTTACTGCCGCACCCTAGTTCTAGTGCCGGCCGCGACCCCTTTGGGTTACGTTTCGGCGCGTATACACCATTAAGCCTTCAAGCAATCGATATATGGCACCTAGCATTCAAAGTACGGAACGTAGTCGTCGTTTACGTGGTGGATCCTATTCCATTGCCTCTACTCGTAATAACGCTCAAAAGCGACGTATCTATTGCCCCTTACTGATCATTGATGCCACTAAAAACATACGTCCACGCGAAATCATGCGCTGGCATTGTACGACCCTAATGCATCCTTGCCACCCGCGGACCCGTTGGAACTATATTTCCATTTTGCAAACCGGTCATGTGCTAATAGGATCTATACTATCCTGGGTGCTACTAGTGATACATACATTCCGTGGCAGTCTCCGAAAGGTGGGACTGGTGACCCCGGCCCACCATTCACTACAGAGTCACATTAGTCATAAACCTCTCCCTTCAGTAAGGGGACAAGGAAAAAAAACCACAAGAAGTTCGCCCTCAAGAAGTGGTACTGTACAATGTTCAAGAAGACACACAAGGATATAGAGGTAGTTTGTTACCTGCGTACCAGTCAAGGCGAGTACTATTCTGGTGGATCTTGCCCATGTTCCCAGCCCACGAAAGCAAGCGAAACTTTTGTACACTAGACGATGAGGAATGGAGACCCGCGAGCAATGCTGGGGTGGTGGGGGCTTCCGAGCGTGCGCCGCTGCTCTCTAAGGACACCAACCTGCGACCCTTTTTAGGTGCCGCAGTCTAACTATCCGTGGTGCTGCAGCGGCTTTTGGGTACGTTTCGTCCCAAGCACATATTTAAATTGGAAACAAATGTTAGTCAATATAAAGTACTACCGCAAACAAACGCCAATATCCTGCAATAGCCTGCCTTCAGTTCAGCACTCAATGGCTCCACCAAAAAAGTTAGGCTCTCCAATCGAGCTACCAGTCCGCAGGTCAACAGTTATACCCGTTACGCTTTTCCCATCGGTATCTTTCCGTAAGGATCACAGAAGAGGCGAGTTCGTCAAATATGGGTCTCCATACAACCAGGAAGACCGACTCTTTTTTGGACTAAACCCTCCTTGGAACAATGTCCATGCCATTGAATTCAAGGAAGGCCGCCCAGTCAGCTTCGTGACCCATCAAAAGGTTGAAACCAAGAACATTTCTCTGGACCGTATCAGGCAGATTTCACATGCAAATGTGCTGGGCTTCAAGGAAGTATTTATCCTAAAGGATATTATTTACTTCCTCCGGGACCAATGGGGTCTTACTTTAAACGAGATTTTGCAGCTATCTCCAGTCTTTAACCTCAGTGAGGTGGAAGTTGCTGTTATTTGCAGGGCTGTATGTTTTCAAATAGAGGGTTATCAAACCTAGCCCTGAGCTAATCTTTTGCAGATTCTCCAAGGACTAAGGTATATCCACGAGCAAGTGGATATTTGCTACGGGAATCTGACATGTTCAGATATTCTTATTAATGAACAAGGCGAGGTGCGAATTGGTATGTATCTGTCTCTTCCCTTAACTTGTGATTTTGGACTAATCTTGACAGCGGGCATTGGGAACAGCATACTCCAGAAGCCCGATCCTCTAGGTAAAGCTAAGGATATCCAGGCTGTCTGCCACATAGCCCGCAAACTTCTCAGAGTCGAGGAAGCTGTCGATGTGCGCGGCACTGCTGGGCTTCTGGCCCAAGATTTTGCCGGTGCTCCCCCAGCAACGACAGCGAAAGGTCTTCTTCAGGTAAGAAATAATGAACAGGTAGTTTGATTCACTGCTGATCAAATCCGAAGCATCCATTTTTAGAGGTTAGCGCAACTCAATGGTGCCTTCGCCCGCTTCATATCCTTTGCAAGATTGCCCGAGAAAGGAAATATGAAGTAGAGAGTACTTGACCTAGCTTTTCATATACGAAATCTAACCTTCGTAGATGAAGGGTAAATTAATTCGAGAATAGTCAATCAAATTCTTTTTTTTTAAGTGTGTTCAAAACCGAGCTAGATAACTCTCGCATTTCTCAAGATGCTTCTAACCTATGGTTTTCAAAATGGCTATGAGTTATAAAGTGCGCACTGAACCATGTAAAGTCTTCGGTCAAAAGGAGAGAATGACAGGAACAACCAAATAACATAGCTAGTTGATTCATCCACATACACCGTTTTGGTCCACAATGGCCATCTATCGGAACAGTTCGTGTCGCACCATTTGGAAAATAGAAAAAGCCTATTGGTTTATTGTCATAGTGCTCGCCCTCGGCTCACCTGAGTAGATCCGCCCAGATATAAAAGAGCTACAATGTGGCTACAGGAGTGGAAGTTTCCAGGCACCTTCAACAATCACTCAATTCTTCTAGCAAGATGGAACCCTCCCCCGTGACCGATAATGTGGAAAAGGGCACAACCTTGCACCGGAGCGATACAACTTATACCATTGAAACCCGCTATATACAAATGCTCCTCGAGGATATCCCATGGTTTTACAGTATCCTTGCTGATGCTGCACACTGGGCATTACTTGCCGGGTACCTGGTGGTACCCGGCACCTTCACTTCAATGCAGAAGTCTCTAACGTTGAATGAAGACCTGAAAAAAACGGAAGCTGGTCAAACCATCCTAAATACAATCCAAAATCCTCCCCTGCTTGCGATTG